AGCTTCAAGGTCAATAAGCGAGGCACCAATGTGCCGGCAAGCACCATCAGCCCTGATCAAGAAATTAGGAATTAAGAAAAGTTTCAACAGATATATTGTGATGACCAGAGTCAAAGTTTTGAATACTAGATAAAAGGAAATTATTCTGAAAGCCATAGAGATCACATACACTTGGGCATAGTATAAAGATGTCTTCAACAATTTGGAAACGAAGTACAAAATTTCGCAAAGCTGCAAATTATTATTTTCATTAACACTTCAACATTGTGTCAGTTGAACAGATCAATCTGGATTTATCATTTAACACATACATAAATCAAATTCATTTTTTAAGATGGCCAAATATTAGCCGAGGCAGCAGAATACACACCCTCCTATACAAGGGCAATGCGCTGTGTAAACTGATCCATCTGACTGAATTATTATCCATCCATCGTAAGTTGGTTTCTGTCCGACTTGCGTTTTCTCTCGTTCCGTTGGCTTTACTCCAAATTTAACGTAGTGGTATCCATTGAACAAGTTCTTGTTCTTCATCAATTTTAACACATGGCCATCCCAGAACAGGCGGTAGCCTTCGAACGACTTATATGCCTTGAGAGACTCGTGGTCATAACCCTCCTTATTGATTAAGTAAGCGTACATATCACCGTATGTGAAGTTCGGAAAATCAGAAAAGTCGGAAGTCCAGTCAGAGTGTAACGTGTTAGGACAGGGGAGCGAACCTTCTTTCGTCTGCAACTTGTTGACTATCACATCCTCCGGTTTCTCCCAATCGTCTATCGGTTCCAGTGAAAGATCGCGAGCCTTCTCCACCAATTCTACTAGTTCCTCCTTTCTCTTTTGCAAAACAGTTATTCCACGGCTCTGTAAATACGATTTCAACTCAGGAACTTTCCATTTTTGAACTTCACTCTCTGCCCCTCCTACGAAAGCCATATTGAAATCACAGATTCCCCCGCATGAGCCTCGACATCGTGCACTCGCCCAAGGCCGTCCGGGAATACGAATAAGGCCTATTTGGCCCAGTGAATAAATTCTTGTAAGCAAGCTAATCTTAATGATATTATAGACGTTTCCATATCTGTTAACCAAAGACCTCCAAATTTTATGTCGTTAACTACTGCTAATCGAGCTATTTTATCAGGTCCATTCCATAGAAAATTATATATAATAGTATTAAGTTGTTTTATAAAACTCTTCCGGAGTTGGTAAAACTGAATTATTGTAATTTTGCAGAGCAGCGAGAGGCCCTGAACAGACAAAGCTGCGAGAGGTCTTTTTCCATTTGTACTCACCTGCTTTTGTTGAATGAGTTTCTTGAAGAAATATTAAGTCTGTTTTTTGTTTTTTTTTGTGTTTTGTTTTTTCTTTTGTTTTCTACACCAGGTGAACTCTGCATTTTCGAAAATTGCTGAGGCCTCCCACATTAAGAGAAACCAGTTTCAGGCTATTGGACTTGATCTTAGAATTTGTCATTTGTCAGCCATTATTAGAATCATTTATCATGAGAGAACTTATCAATAATTTATTATAATAATTGGCATGTTTGAGCAGTTGATATGTTTGTAAGCGGCAAGAAATGTGGAATTTTATAACACAGAAATAGTAAACACAACACAAACACAAAACATTGCACATACATTGGTTACACACAATAACGAAAGCGCACTTACCATTGTGGTTTTGAGACGCTTTCGCCGAGATCTCCTTTAGACGTAAAAATCAGTTTACATGATATGCGTATAATTACAAGATTTATGCAACTAAGGAAGAGACTAAATTGTTCATCATTGCAAAAATCAGTCAGTTCTGTTAAAAAATATCCAAATGTTCGGCTACTCGTCAGTTGGCAGTTTAAAGGTTGACAACTTTGTAGTGGAAACTTTCTTGTATAATATCTGTGCCGGAACTGACCATGGAATGAAGGTGAATTCAACATCTTCTTTTTCTTTGATTTCTTGTAAATAATCTTTTCGCAGCTACGCTCTGTCATTGTGTACCAACTTCAATACTTCATCTGATATATATATTTGGGACTCGGAGAAAGCTTTCTCTTTAAGAGCTTTAGCGACGGCTTTTAGAATCTTCACTTTATCCGTGTACCTAAGAAGGTAAACATGAATTGGTCGCGGCTTTGGAGTCGCCACGGCCTGTTCTTTAACGTTCATGCGGTGTGCCCTCATCGCCTCGATGCCCTTGATTCCCATATGGTTTCCAAAAAAGTCGTGGGCCAGAAAAAGCTCTGGAGAGTCTTGTTCCTTCTCTGCGTTTTCTCGCAAATCCCATATGACGATATTATTCCTTTTGGAACGGTTTTCAAGGTCATCTATTTTTTCTCAAGTTTGGCCAACTCCATGTGGGATGCTTTCTCAGCAATGTCGCTTTTGACTTCAGTGACTTGTTCTTCTTAATAACCGTAGCTCTTCTTCAAATCTTTAACGTCATTGGGGGTCTTCTTCTGAAGTAGTTCTGAAGGATGGAGTTCAACTTTACTTCTTGGTCGGCTTTCACCTTTAACAAGGCATCCATCTTGGCGTCCATCTTGGTCAGAAGAGTGTTGAATTTGTCTTCGGTTGCTGTCATTTTGCTCTCTTTTTTTGATTGAGACCTTGTTTTAATACTCATTCGCCTCTTCAAAGTGAAAAGCACAAAAAGAAACGCGTTATCACGTTTTAAAAGCACATTTAAAACCAATTTTTAGGAGAGAGCTCGGGCACATCCGTTCATCTTGAAGTCATCCCCAGACCCCCTGCAGTACAGTACTACAGTACAGTACTGCTGTACTCTTAATGTTGGCCACTGACTTCTAATTCCTTTCAAAATTCCATTTGGTCATCTCCACTCGCTTGCTCAGCACTTGCTTGAATTCTTTGCTTAAAATCCACGTACTCTGCTTCACATAACACCAGGAGTTGTCAAGCAAACTTTTGGTTCGCAGTCTGTCCTGGAAGGGTCACCAAATTGTTACCCATGCCCTATAAAACCACATTAAAGACCAATGAAAATAATAGCACTTCAAGACGTATTTCTTTCTTCAACAAACTCATACATCGATCTTACTACTGTCCCAGATGTAAGTGACTGCATCACACATCAACTGTTACACATTTCTGTTACAATTATTTCCACTTACGTTTATCGCTTGTTTTCACTTTAGGCTCTAACATCTAGATGTTGGATCAGTTCATCAGGACTATTATGCTGATCATCAAGACTACAAAGAAATTTGTGAGAATGAGGAGGTAAAAAACTAGAAGAACTCTTCAACAGTTTTTGTCTCAATTACCTTTTGATGTCTGAATGTCCACACGTCTTTTGGTGACTTTACCATATAATTTTGTGTCATTCAGCTGTTTAAAGTTTCTTGTTCAACCCCTAAGACGTGAACCGTAGGGTTTCCTTGATCTCACACAATCCTCTGAGTTCATTAGACAGATTATTTCTGCAGCTTTGTCTGTTCTGATTGAAGTTCTCCACTAAGTCTTGACGAATTTTGTGCAGGTTTTCCTTGAGGGAAGGATTCTGCGGTGAAAGATTCCACCCTGATTTAACATACAATTTAGTGTAGCTACCTTAAGGCTAAGTTTAAAAACTTGCCTTCCAAGGTCAAATGCATGCTGCATGAGGCTCGTGACTCATTCCTCTCAGGAATGGAGTTGCAATGAAAGTGCCATCCAAAAATTTTTTTTGTCGACACTCAAACTGAAATCAAAACATCCGAGTATTCCTGAAGCCACCTCCATGGCAACAGATCCCAGCAGTGAACCAGCAGACATGGAAGTAGAATTCAAGCATCATCACCAACTGAAATCGTTCAACTGTTCAATTGGTACTTCGTGTCGGTATTTACATCTGACCCTGTCACTTGTAATTCAGCTGACGAGGTGTACACTGGGCCTAATGCTGACGTTATGGACCTGACTCTCACAGTCACTCGGGTCTTGAATGTACTGGTCAACCTTGACACAATTAAAGCTACCAGTCCTGATGAAATCCTGGCTAGGATTTTGAAGGAGAGAGCATATGAGATTGCTCCATCCTTATGTCTCTCAGACTGGGCTTCCTTCCCATGGACTGGAAACTGGCCAAGGTGGTCCCTGTGTTCAAGAAAGATAATAAAGAATATGCTGAGAACTACAGGCCAATTTCGTTACTGTGCCAGGTTTCTAAGGTGATAGAATGCTGTGTGTTCAATTCAATCAAAGACTGTGTGTACCGTCTGATCGATAGCTCACAACAAGGTTTCATAACAGGGCGATCGTGCATGACACAGTTGGCAGAGGTACTTGACTAACTTGGCTTCTAACTTGACGATGGGGGCCAGTTTCTTTCTCATGAGATGAGTTGTCTGTGGTAAATTTCAGCAGTCTACTTTTACCGCATGAACTTCATTCTTTATTCCAGTGGATTCCTTGAAGTCATTCCGTATTAGGGTTTTTTGTTTTTTGATGGCTTCGCTTTGCCGCGCCTGGTTGATTCCTTTTGGCAGTGTTAACTCTGGGTCAAGCAACAGTTCACACATTCATACCTGCATCAAGAGTCTCCGATATCGAAACGCGCGCAATGCATTCTGGGATCGTCTCATATAAAAAGTGGGCACCAAGCGTGACAGCGGCCATCTTGATAACTAAAGCATCGTCAACATTTATACACTTTTACCTCGCGATTTTACAATTTTTTCCAGTTTAAATTAGATCATAGTTTGTATATAGTTTTAATAATAGTTTGTATATAGTTTTCACTAGTTTGTATATAGTTTTCATATAGTTTTCTCGTCGTTTTTGGCGTGGAAATGAGCGAGACAAGTGAGCTTTCCCTCGAGGAAGTCAACACATGGAAGGTGGACGCTCTCAAGTTATTTTGCCGTAAACGAAATCTTAAAACTTCTGGAGCTAAAGCTGAACTTGTAGCCCGTGTGTTTGCAGCATCAGAGATGGGAATCCAAGTACAAGCATCGGCTAAAGAACTAATGTGCATCACGGAGTCTGAGAGAGCGAAGCTATTGTTTACTCCTGAGGGCAGCAAGCTTCCCGATCCTCTTGGGCTAAAGGACGGATGGATTGATGAAAAAGATGGGCTAACATCATGGCCTCCTATATTTCTAAGTGACATTACGAAATATCTGATGGCTGATCATCCTGGAAAGGATATTAAACTGCACGAACGGGTCATGAATGAGTACAAAGAGGGGAAAGCATACCGCTTATTTGACTCGGGCTTTCTGAAAGAAGTTTTCTACCATGAACTAGAAAATATGGATTTTTGCTTCTTGAAAGCAAAATGTACGCATTCGATGAAGGTTGGTGATACACCACATACATCATGGATTTGTTCAAGAAAAAATGGAGAGATTATCAGTGCCTACTGTACCTGTACTGCTGGGTATGTTAGACTTTCTGTTTTATAAGACTTTAACTTGTAACTGATGCAAAATATAAGCCTAAAATATCATGTTTATCATATACCTCGATTTTATGACTAATGTTGTTGGTCTAAGCTCAATATATATTATACTTTAGAATGTTTAAAATATTATGTCTATCATATACCCTAACTATTTGTTATTTCTTGTTTCAGTATGAGTGGTTCTTGTATTCATGTGATGGCACTGCTGTTCAGAATTGAAGCAGCAAACCGTAATGGTATGACAAATCCTGCATGTACGTCCAAAGAGTGTGTGTGGAATGTTCCAATAGGAAACAAGACTGTAATCAAGCCCTCTAGAATTTGTGATATGGAGTGGAAGGCTTCAAAGCTAAATAAAGGTATGTTATTATGTTTAAAATTCTAAACAAAGTATTTACAGTATGTATACTGGATAGACATAAGTGTTATCTGGGGACATAAATAAGAAAGTTCTTATTAGCTTGTAACCTAGCAATTAATTTACTTTTATTTTGTGTTTTTCTAGAGACGACCAGACCTGCCATCGATAGTCGCCGAAAGTTATTCAATTCACATGAAGAGTTGAAGCCCCTGACTCCAAAAGGAAAGAGGAAGTCGTTTTATAATAATTTGAAGGACTTGTTGCCAGAATCGGCATTCATCAAATTAGCAACGGCTGAGTTTGAGGAACCGTGTTCAACTTCCGTTACAATAGAAATTAATACTGAAGTACCTGAATGTGTAATGCCTAAGTCATCAAAGAAAGACTTAAGTGCTGATGATATACATCTGATTGAACAAGGCACCATTGGTCAGTCTGAGAATGAGGCATGGCACGATTACAGAAAAGGCCGATTAACTGCCTCTAATTTCTATAGAGTGTACACAAAAGTTGAAACCCTTAAAACTAAGGGGGGTGATGCACAGGAACTAGTGGACACAATCCAGGGTAAAAGTAATGGACCGTCGGAACATTTACCTGCTCTAAAATATGGAAGAAACATGGAGAAAGTTGCTAAGGATAAGTATGTGAAACTGTTTCAGAGGGAGCACAAAGATGCAAAATTCAGAGAGTGTGGACTATTTATTGATGAATCTGACCAATTCATTGGAGCATCCCCTGATCTGCTTGTTGAATGTTCCTGTTGTGGATTAGGGGTGCTAGAAGTGAAGTGCCCTTATTCTATTGTTAATGATTTACCATCAGAAGACAATCTTTCCTACCTGGTAAAGATTAATGGCAAAATTGTCTTGAAAGAGAAGCATGCATATTTTGCACAGATACAGGGACAAATGGCTGTGACAAAGAGAACATGGTGTCACTTCCTGGTCTACACCCAAAAGGGTTATCATCTGGAGCTAATCAAGTTCAATAATGATTACTGGGAAAAGATAAAGCAAAACCTAATTTGGTTTTATAATAAGTATTTAAGTGAATGAATGCTCGTTAATTATAACTTGATACAAAACTTTATTTACATGGTGTAAACACTAAAAATACATTTGTACATTTTATATACAATTTAGAATTTTTACAATTTCATATCTGGAAAAACTGGTCTGACAGTTCTAAATTGAACTCAAATAGTCTCTGAATAGAACAGTAAAATTGTCTGTTGTGGAAACTGGAATGGATGAATCAAATCATGAAATTTTATACAAGTAATGCATTGACCACACTTCAGTATGATTGAAAATGTTACAGTTTGATATTGTTTGCAGTTATATATATAGTAATAATAAATAATATATTATTTATTTGTGTTCAGCGACACATGAGCTGTGAAATGAAGAAAAATATTTACAAATTATATCTAATGATTGTAATCACTCTACCAGAATAATTTTTCTCTTGTGAGGTCCTTGTGGTGCAAATAATATAACAGTTCTTATTCAGAGTGCACATACTTAATAGCTGAAGCATTAAATGGTACTAAATCATACTATTACTTAATTTTCTTGTTATGTACCATTATCAACACTATTTAGTATTATTTGGTACCATTTGTATGAAAGATTAAGTGATTGCACTCTATACTAGTTGCTAGTAAAGTAGAGCAGAGATTTTGAATAACATTTAACCTAAGAAAGAACTTAGACTAATACATATTGGTATCCTCTAAATTTATGAAGTTTATATTCTTTCATGGGTTAAATGCTGTCAATCTTTTTAGCTATTTGTACATTTCTTGTTAATCATTTTTTACCCAAGGGTCTATACAAGTTACATAAGGCTGCACAAATAAGTACAATGTTGTCTATACTGCCAAGCAGTGATATTGGTAGTTCATGCTTTATCAGTCTAAACGTCTTCAACCGTCTTATTGCTTGCTCAACAAAGATTCTAAGATTTGCAATTTCTTTTGTTTTAGCAACTTCAGCTTTAGTGAACTGCTCTTGTCCACGTTTACCAGGGGGGATGTGTAGTCTTGAGCTTCTGATTAAGAGGTCTTCAGCAATTGTGAATCCACGGTCTGCCATCACTTCATCGCCAGGTTCAATGATATCATAAAATGATGATTCTCTTGTCAGATGCACATCTGAAGTTCTCCCTCCCCATGCTTTGGATAAGAAATTGAAAAAACCATGTGGTGTTATTGATACCAACAGCTTAGCAGTGTTGTGATGCTTGTAGTCTGACCACGTAGCTGCTCTAAGGTTTGGGTCGCTTGGGGTTTCAATAAATATTTCTGTGCAATCAATGATGTGGCGTACATTAGAGTAGCCTGGCTTTTTAAACTTTGCGGGCAAAGTTGCTTTCACAACATCGATGGAGGGATTGTAAACCAAACATTTAAGTTCACTTGCTAGGATTTTCACCCAGGTAGTAACAACATTTGTTACATTTGTAGTTGAAATTCCAAACCTCTGTGCTAAGTCAGCATTTGTTGATCCAAGTCGAAGTTTCATTAAGGTCAAAAGAAACTCATCTTTTTCTGACAAAGCTCTTTTAGGGCCAAACTTATTTGGTGTTTTTTTGAAGTTTCTTCCTTTTTTAGTAGATTTTTTTGGGCCACTCCAGTAGTTTACTTTTTTAATGTTTCCCTTCACTACTTCAAACAACTTATTGAATACTCGTTTTGATGGTAGGCCGGTTAGTAGACGAACAGATGAATTTGTTTTCAAATCAGAATGTTCTAGTCCCTTACGCTGTCTGGCCTTGAGTTTTATCTTACATGCTTTGAGTTCACTTTCAAGTTCTTGGAGTTTTTCTTTGAGATCTTTGATCTCATTGAACTGCTTGAGTCTTTCCTGCAAGCATTTTTCTTTCATACAGAAGTCAGGATCTTCTAGGTTGTACCAGCCAAACGAATATGCATGATCGTGAGTGATATGGTCGGGTCGACCGGCAGTAGTACAATGTTCTTCTTCTGTTATAAACGAGGAACTACTTGGTTCTTGAATCACAGGAGCATCTTGACTATCATGTGCATTATCTTGAGTATCATCTTGAATATTATCTTGTGTGTTATCTTGAGTATTATCTTGAGTTCTTAAACGTTTCATTTCTTCTAGTAATGATGATCTATCAGTAGGCGGTTTACGGTTACGAGTAGACTTTGTCTCGTAGCCCATTTTGAGTACAGGATCAGGGTTTTCTTTCGTGGGTTTCCCATCAACAAAGTGCTCATTGCAGACTCTCGACGAATTATTAGGTTGCCAGACTTCTCCTTTCGGGCCTTTTCTCTTTAGAAGATGGATCCAGCGCTTTCTACCCTCATTGTTTTTGCGTTCAGTAGGGAACGGAAATAGCTTGAACGGCAGCGGACAGTCACATGGCGGAGTGCCGTGTAAACAATCGTGAACTTCGCATTGCTGTGAAGCCCATTTCTCAAGCTTTTTCCCACTGTTATGGCACCCAAATACTGCACAATTTCTGTGCCCAAAGACCATGTCATTAAACGGCTGCAAAGTAATAAAAATACGATGAGAATCTTTGACTTTTGACAGTTCTTGTATTCGCGAATGTCACTCGCGCGCAGGATTGAATCTACTACCATTAAAAGCTTAAAAACAGCTAAAACAAAGTTAAAATTTGTAACTTACCTTTTGAATATAATACCCACGAAGATTATTTTCCAGTTGATATCACTTACAAGAACAAAAAGACTGTATTATAGATAAAGACACGCTTCAAAGAACGCATTGAATACAGAGACACACGCCATATTGTCACGCTTGGTGCCCACTTTTTTTGTGAGACTATCCCAGAATGCATTGCGCGCGAATTACCTTCCGGAACTCTTGATGCACGTATTACAGCATTGCATACACTTGCCGAACACTGCAATTTCGGTACTTTGACAGATGAAATGATTAAAGACAGGATTGTGGTAGGCCTGGTAGATGAGCAATTGTCAGAGAAACTTAAGCACCTTTTTGGCAGCATTGATTGAACTTCGCTCACTCGAACATAATATTATGGTGAACCACAAAGTGTTCATCAAACTTTGTTTTAATGGTACCTCTTCAGTTGTGTAGCGCTCAGCTTGAAGGAGTTAAGAATATTGTCGGCTTGATCTCCCATAGCATAGATCTGCATGTTTATTTGACTCTCTTCCTCCTCTTTTGCCAGACCAGATGCATGGCGAAAGTGTTCAAATCTACGGCTCCATTTTGGCCAGTTTTTGACGACTAAAGTCAAACTTTTCCGGTAGCTGTACTTGAAAAGACTTCAGGGTCCATGTAATCCCACTCCTGACACCATGTGGTGTTATCGAGCCATAAGGAAAAAAACAGATAAGTACAGTAACAAAACGCTTTAATCAGGCAGCCATAAGACATTACCTGGTTGATCACGAGGTGACTTCCTCATGCCCTAAAGGCTACTGGGAAATAACATTACGTAACCAATTACACCACAGTTGCATTTCTGCAATTACAACTCTCCTGGTTGAGTTCAATTGATAAACCTTCGGCAACATCTCCAAATTTGCTAGCAGTTATTCTTTTAGCACGCAGAGTACAAAGTCTGGTGTCAGACTTTGAAAGTGTTGCATACTCTAATTCCACAGCTTTTTCTTGGGATAAGTGTAAAGATTCTGGGGCTGCTTGTTTTTCATTCATTAAACAGACCATTAGATTGTGATTAATTCGCTCTTTGGCATCTTCTAGGGGCAAAGTTGGGAAGAAGGAGTGTGAAATGTCATAAGATCAATGCTTGGGCTCAAGATCATGTAGATGTTCCAAAATCATTATTTGGTAGATAGCAGCTGGTGAACGAAAGGTGGTTTTGATAAATTTAGTGTTGGTAGCACGTAGCTGTGGCTTTTTCACCCATATGTTCTGAATGGCTTTGTTTTAGATCTTTCTCTCATGCACTACGCTCCATCACTGTGGAAGGCTAGTACATGTGAGATCATCAGGTATTGCCGTAAGACCATATTGTTTACAGTGAGGCAGATAGAAGAGCAACACTATGATATGATGGTAGAATCCTCCAGCACCAGCAACACAGGAACATCGGCCTTTTTAAAGCCTTTGATGCTGTTGTTATATAGGCTTCAAGGGTATGTGGTGGTTTTACTCTCACAACGTCTTATGGGTAGGCCACTAAAAAAAATTGTACATATTGTGAACATTTAAGAACGGAATTTGTTTTAGTTCAATCCAAATTACCTTTCACATTGTGTAGATAACCTGGTTCTGCAAAGAACTTGTAGGCTTTGGAAGTGTTCTCGCAGCCTGACTCCTTTTTTTGAGTAAGCTTCAACCTCACCAAAAGTTAGAAACAAGAAAATGTTGTGTAATAAAATATGTGCTTATTGGTCATAACGGTGTACGATAGGAGATGAACTTTGTTTGTTTGTCTCACGATAGAGTCACTTTTGAAGTAGATTGCTACGTTTTGACTGCAATACTGCTATCTTCACCAAGCGAGTACAATATATTGAAAAACTTACTAATATAGGGTGCTCCATGGCTATGCAAGCACTCGTACAACATAAATAGCGACTGGAATTGCCTGCATTGTTCCAAAGACTTGATATTAACGATGTTGAGGAGGTAGTCGTATGAAACAGACTTCGGAAAGCCTAAGATACTTCTTAATAAATAGTAATTAGTGTTCTCCATTTTGGTAGTCTTAGCATTACCTATACCCAGCAAAAGAGGGCTGCAATACTCAAGATGTGGGAGAACATATGCCTTGTAGAGACGTATCATTACGTAGTTCGGAATAAACTTGCACAGTCTCTACAAGGCTGAAGCCTTTGCGCATGCTTTTTTCAGCTGTTCCTTTATGTGCGCCTTAAAGGTTAGTTTACTGTTGAAGACTACCCCTAAGATCTTAAGTGTATCTTGCTTCTCAACCTTCTCATTAATAAGATGAAATTCATATTCATATAATGATGGCCAGATGGCAACAGCTTATGTTCTAGCGGCATTAATCTTTAAGTAATTTAATCCAAACCATCTTGGTAGCACGCTGAGGTGAGAGTTAATAACACACTGCAGAACTGTCGGTGAGACATCCGAGGCATATTCCATTGTGTCATCAGCATACAGCATTAAGGATGTATTAGAAACGAAGTAATTAAGATCATTAACGTACATATAAAATAAGAGTGGACTTAACAAGGATCCCTGTGGTACTTCAGTTGTTATAGTTCTCCACAGAGAGAATATACTCCATCAAGTTTAACTCTTTGTCTTCTACCTAAAAGATAGGCTGACATAAGTTCCAAGGCATCATCTGTAAAACCATACGCTTTCAGTTTGGCCAGCAGAAGTGGGTGACAAACAGAATCAAATGAATGACCCTTGAGGTAGCCTGATAGATTTGGTGAGAGCCTCCAGTGGAATGCATCGTACATTTGATCAAACATCACCTTCTCATATATTTTCGACAGGGCAGTTAAAACAGATACTGGTCGATAGCTAGCCTTATTTGTCATGCTTTCTTTCTTAAATACTGGAACTACATCACTTCTTTTCCATATTGTCGGCCATTGTTGATTAGTGATAAAATAATTGATCAAGCAGGTCACCAGTTCAGCAATGAGAGGAGAGGATAAACATAACAACCTTTGAGAAATTTTGTCACAACCAATGGCCTTTTAAGGGTTAAGTTTGTCCAAGATCTCCACTATGTAACTGACTTTTACAGGAGCAAATTGAAACCTTTGATCTCCAGTTTTCTCGGCAATAATCCCGGTACTTGGATGATCAACAAGTTCCTCCATGGCCTTACAAGAAGAAAGAAAAGCACGTTATTCAATGTAAAGTACATTTATTTTAATATCCGAAGTCCACAGTCCTAAACATTTGGCTGCAGTGGTCAGATTTTTTTAGGAAAATGTGTAGTTCAAAGGTAAAGACCTTGTCCCCAGAAGTATTCACAGGGACTAGTCCTCTTGTGTGTGCTGAATTGAAACCTTCAAAAGAAAACTAAGACTCAAAAAGTAAGAATTTGTAAAATCAAAATGTTCAATGATGTACAAATTGTACGTCACATCAACAGCGTGCTAAACGTAAATTTCTAGTACATAACGCACCAAAAGTTAACTATGGTAAATTACTTTTCTAATGTTAATCATGAAAAGGACACCAAGAACTAAAAAGTACCAATCTGTATTATCAAAAAGTACATAACGTACTAAAAGTTAACTATGGCGACCTATTTTTAACATAAACCTTGAAAGGGATATTAAGGCCAGATAGTGAGAATTTGTATAACTTTTAATGTTCAATGATGTACAAAACGTACAACTACATACTTAAGGTAAATTTTTAGTACATAGCATACTAAAGGTCACTATGGTAATATATAAAATATAAATATAAACCTTGAAAGGACGTGGAGGCCAGACAGTGTGACAGTTAACATGTTCAGTAATGATAAAAAGAAATGCACTACAGTTTAACTATGTACTAAAAGGTAACTTTTATTTTTCAGTGATTAAAGATTGTGTCCAAGATAAGGTATGCGTTCATTAACAACCTTATGAGCAAATGAAGAAATTATTCAAGCCTCACGCTAGTGTAAAAGTTACATTTATTTTATTAACTCTAAAGTATGTTTCAGTTATTGTTAATCTTGTAGACGATCTATTGTGAATTCATTGAACGATGCTATCAGGTAGTGGTAGAAAGGAATTTAAATTTACTGAATACTACAGGTCAGTAATAGCCAAAACAGTCTATAACGCAGGTCTATTAAACTGTGCACGACTTTACTCTAGTTTTGGAGATCACAGGTTTTATTTTATCTATTACTGAAGGTTACACCAGTTATTAATTCTAGGTATACCAAGTCTAATGCATCCTTTGGTGATCAAAAATGATGTGGGAGAAATGGTGCGCATTTATTGACGTTTTATGAAACAAATGCAGTGATCCTGGTAATGATTGAGCAATTTAAGCAGTAAACTGAGTATGCAGTGTGGTGATCATTTCTTTTATTTCTTTTAATTTCATGTAAGACCATTCCATCAATGAGATAACAAGGAGTCGTCCGTTATGTTGAATACCTTATATTTTTCTACTAAAGGCCTCTCGCTACTTACTTTCCTTACCCTACTTTCTTTTGCATTTACATTTGTTTTCTTTTTGTGTATGGCATAAACTTTATTTACCTTTTGTCTCCTTTCACCCTCTGCCAAACAACTTCTTTCTTGATAGCATTAGTTTCAGTCAGGTCTTGGTTAATTTAAAAGGATAGTTTGTCTTCTCCTCTGTGAACTTTCTCCAGAACCTTGAGGATCCAGCAGATATGGAGTCTGAAATGTGCATTGTGGATGATGGTGCTGCTTCTGGTTGGGCTGAATTAAGATACCTCTTAACTTTCAAGACTCTGTGTCTGAGAGAGGCTTGCAGTCTTTCATATTTTCCTCTTTTAGGCTCTGAAGCTTTAAGACTACAGCCTTCAAGGGGCGTTCCTCCAGAAGTGTTGAGGTTTGGGGCTGCTTTAGTGTCCTTGAGACCATCCTGTGGGTGAGGAATCTTGCTCGATTTTCGGGCAACAAGTTTGGTCACAGCCCCTCAGCTAAGGTCAGTTTTGATAAGCTGATCATGTACATGATAACATCTGGCTTGAGTCTAGGTCTTTAGCTGGGCTAAGGCAGTGAGATGATCCTTTTCAT